CGATCGATTCATTTGTTTTCGCCCCTGCTGAAGGGAGACCAATTTCACGCCTACCTAACAGCTCAGGCACAAAATGCTGTCCCTAGAATTTTTTGTTTTTTGTTTTTTTTTTAACACACCAAGCCTACCAAAACACGAACGCACTCTTTAATCTACGATTACTACTAGTATATACTGTATATATAGCTGCCTGACATTTTTAGCTTTTTAGTTTCAGTAAAAAGCGCATATAAGAACCCAGTGATTTAAGAACTTACAGGCTGAAATTTGGCATTTAAATACTCAGAAATATAAAACCTGTTCAGCCTGGCAAAGAAAAATAGGTTTTTATAGAAAGAAAAAAAAAACACTCTAAATTCTGGAATTTTATTGTGTAAGAAACTTTTGACAAAAGTTAAGGTGCTTATTTCTTTGATTTACATTTTTTGGATTTTCACTAGAAATATGTTTTCCATAAAGCTACAGTGCAATATAGACCATTTAAAATCTAAATATCTTATAAAATAAAATATAGAAGTGTATTGGCAAGCAGTTTTGTTGTTAAGAATAAGGGTTCTAAACTATTATGTATTAGTAAATATATCAACTGCTACTGAAAATGGAGTAAATAATGAGTTGTTAATATGAAAAAAGTTACCGAAATAATGGCTGAATTATTTCAGTCCCTTGAGTATAGTAGGAATCACTAGTTTTATACGACAGCATTGAAAAATTACAGGATACGTTCAAAGACAAACTAGTTGAAGAGATTCCTGTTACACGTTAAAATGTTACTGTAGATAAAACGAACATTTTAGGTTTACATTTAGGGCGCGTCTCTGGGTTGATCTGGATCAGGATCAGTGATCCAATCGCTCGGATCATGGTATATCAAAGGAAAGACGAATCCACTCTGGTCATGGATTACTCGGCTCCTTTTATGTACCATGGTCAGAATGATCTTGGATCATTCGTCAACTTTATCCTAGCTTGTAGAACAGGCGGATTAGAGGGGCAGAGAGCGAAACGCGATATACGAGCGCAAAGCGCTCGCGGTCGCGCTCCGCGCTCGTGTATCACCAGGACGGAAAAAGGCCGGGTATCACACTTCGTGGTACTTGATCCTGAGGGATCACCGCACGGGCCTCACCACAGGATTCCTGCTCGGCCCGCCAAAACGGAAGACCATGCACAGTCATTGTATACCTTCAAAACCATTTACAGTGTTGTGCGTTCTTTCCACGGGTAGCCTGCAGAACAAGCGTAATTTTTTTGCGTATTTTAGGCGAACAGAGGCGAAAGCGAGGCGAGCGCGAGGGGAAGGGCGCGCGCTCTTCCCCTCGCGCGCGACTCGCGCATCGCGGCTGCCTCGCTTTCGCCTCTGTTTGCCTAAAATACACAAAAAAATTACGCCTGTTCTGCTGGCTACTCAACGGCTTGTATCATATCATTCTTTGCCGTTTCTCGGTTTCTGCTTGAAACGTGTCACTTGATCGCTTATTTGTGTCCAGGTAAGCAGTTGAACTAGTAATTCTAAACCTTTTATCGAATGCTTTATCGAAAATCGATTTAGAAATCTGCTTAACCTTTCAGCTGCTTGTCGAACCGCTCTTGTGCTCGCAGCTTCCTTGTGTTTCGTCAACAAGCTGATATCGAATCGTTTGTTTCAGCGCAGTTGTAGCTTTTATCGATACATTCTTAGCATGTTCCTGTCCCGCAGTAACATGAAATAATGCGCCGTTAAATGCGATCAACGGAGATTTGGACAGCACACAGGGCTCGATTTCCTCGGCTATGTCGGGTCTGGACTTCAGGATTAAGGACAGAGAGTCAGTATTGTATTGCATGAAGATGCAATTAACTTCCAACTTCCACCAAAGTGTACTCAGAAATCTCAGCAGTACCAGAGATGCTAACAGTACTTTCTACAGTTGTATGCCCTAAATTAGCTTTCTTTCATTTGTTAAAATCAACGTTACTAAGTAACAGTTGGCCAGTGCAGTTTAGGGCCCCTTTATATATGTCTCGTCAACCGGGCTGGCTCGGTTTCCGAGATCTCGCCTTGCCACTCTTTTCTTCGTAAAAATGT